CCTTTGGAGAGCTATTAAGCATTTCTACCTGTGTTTCTAAGGGAATAGAAGCCAACGGGGTGCTGTATTGCTTAATTCCAGTATCTCATTAACATAATGATATCAAAGCACCTCAGGGAAAACACAGATAAATAATAATAATGATGTTTGTTGTTTGTTTGATTTACAGTAGTTCTTAAGGACTCAAGCCAAGATCCTGGGCCAGTTGTGCAAGTCATTGTTCAACCATAGTGAGAAATGCAGCCTCAGCCCCATAACTTTACAAAGACTGTAAAAGACTATAAAGTGGGGCAAGGGGATATAACACAGGAGCAGAGGGAGGATCTCAGTATTTCAGGACAACATTGGTTTGATTGTTCTTTAATTCTTTGGGTGGAGTTTTGATGGGAAGGAATTAGTTAAGCAGCAACACAGAAGAAAAAAAAGGGGACCCTTAATAGGGGTGGGATACAGAGATGAGTGAATGGAAAAATTCAGCTCTCATTAAAAAAAGCTTAGTGGACCCCTCCTCTGCAGCATGGAGGAGGGATCACCAGCCTGGGTTATTACGGCAGATCTTGTCTAATAATTGCCATGCAGTAGCCAGGGCCTCAGGCTTTTGTGGCTCCTTGGCCATAGGATCATAGAAAAGTAGGGCTGGAAGGGACCTCCCTGGGTCATCTAGTCAAGCATTTTTCAACCTGTGGGTTGCAACCCAAAAGTGGGTTGAAAGAACATATGAGAGGGTCACAAACAAACTTAAAAAATGGATCATATTTTGCATACATTTTTGGAAAAAAAACAGATGCTGCTAGTGCTTGACCATATGTTAACACTGTTGCATACTAATAAACAGGGATCTGGGTTTTTCATTTGCCATGGAAAAACTTGGATTTTTTTCCTTTAAAGGAAAAAAACATGGGAAACTATGGGTTTCCCTTTGCAGGCTGGCAGAGTTCCAGCCTGCAAGGGGCTGCTTGGGGCTGGGTGGGGGCGGGAGGAAGGCAATCAGGCAGGGGGCACCACATGCTTGTGCACATGCACACAGACACATGACAGCCAGGCAGAGTGGAAAGCAACATCTGAAGCTCCCTGCAGGTACGTCTGTGGGGAGCAGAGGGGCAGGGGCACAGGCGATGTGTCGGTGAGGCTTGAGGGGGGCACGTGCCCTCTCAGATTTGTGTGCCTACAGTGGGCATGGAGCTGCAGCCTGGCCAGACTCCCAGGATCTGGTGCAGGAGGGTGGAGCGGGGCAGTAAAGTTCATTTCTGCCATCACCAGCACCAGCCACCAGCAGCACAAAAAGTAATGGATGGGGCAGGGCTCCACTGCCCTCACCTCTGATGTCACCAGCCACTTGAGTGCTGGGCTGTGGCTCTACTTTGCTGCCATGACCCAGCTGCCGCCACCACTACTCCCCTTGAGCTGTGGCTCTACCCCCGTCCATTACTCATACTACTGGCAGCGCAGCTGGCATGGGAGTCCTGGCAGCACCAGTAGCAGCAACGAGTCTCACCACCCTGCTCCACCTACTCTCTGGGCTATGGAGACAGCTTCTGCCCATGCCAGTTCGGTGAGGCTGCAGTGCCATGCCCTCTATGGGTGCACTAATCTGAGGGGACATGTGTCCCCCCCCGTCACAGCCCAAAAGCACAAGTACAGTTATTTCAATGCCTGTCTAGCTGTGGCAGGGAACTCAAACCCTCTTACTAGGGCACAATGGTGGTAGAGGAGAGGGGACTGTAACAAGGAGCCAGGGGCTCCTGTCAACTTAAGGCAGCAGGCTAAGCTGGCTGTGTGGGGCCACAGTGGCAGGAGTGCAGGCTGACTCTTAAGTATGGGGGTGAAACCCCCATGTGTGGCTGGGGAAAGACGTGTGACAGAAAGGGGGTAGGGCTTAGAGACATAAAAGCCCAGGGCCTGAGCCAGAGAGGGCAGTCAAACCCTGCATGCTTCAGAGAGAGAAATTCCCCAGGGAAGATGACTGCAGGAGGCAGTGCCCAGGGATACCCAGCTACCCACAAGGGAGAGAGCGAGCCTAGTGCTGGGAGTTGTAGCCTGTGGTAGGGTACTGACTGACAGCGGGGAAGACCTTTGTGAAAGCAGTTTACTTATTTCTGCTGTGCTGGTGTTTATGTTCATGTACATTTGTTGGGAACTGGAGGACTGGGAGTGGCTGTAGGGGCAGAGGAGACCACGAAAGGGGTCCGGGGTAGGCAACCTCTGCTGCGAGGCTGAGGCCCAAGAGCCAGGGCCTGAGTCAGTGGACTTGCGCTGAGGGGCTTCAGCTACAGGGAAAAGGGGCTGAAGCCAAACAGTTGAAATCTGGACAAGGACTGGGGTTTGAGGGGCCCAGTGTTAGTCCAGGGCAGAAAGAGAGAGAGAGAGGCTTTGGGTGCTGGGGTCTGAGCCCCAAGCCAAGCATGCCAAGGAGAGCCCAATAGCAAAAAAGGACTAGGAGGAGCACCCTCAGCCCAAGTCCACTGACTCAGGCCCTGGCTGACTAAGGGTAGTCTCCCCTCTTCATTAACAACATCAAGGCCTGGCAGATGAGACATCAGGGGAAGTCCCTAAGAGGCAGGAGCAAAGGCTGGGCAAGACTAAGGTGGCCATGAAGGAGGTGATATGGGAGCCCAAGATCATGCCCCATCATACTATCCATAATAGCATATTACAGATTCTCACCTGTACCAGCTGGGAGGTAGCAAGTCTGCTTGATTTTGCAGAACTCTCCAATTTTCCTTCCAGTCTGTACCTTATATTTCTAGATGGCTTGTTTAGATATTCTAAGAAATGTCCTCTGATTGGTTTTATTCACACTTGTTTCACAGACACTTTTGGAACTGAACCGAACCGAACCAGTTCTCTTATGGTATTAATTGGAAGGTGTCAATTAGTTGGTATTTAGGTCTCAAAAGGGAGGATTTCTTGTCTCTTTCCCTCATGTAATGTTGCTTGCCACAATCCTGTTTTCTTTCCACCTTGGTTTATGGTCTTTGCTAACAAGGCTGCTTTACCCCACAACTTGTCTAAGAAACTTAATGTTAGTATATGTATTATAACAAAATTACATCTAATACATTTTGGTTACATTAATCACTCCTGCTGCTCAGAAACAGGCTTGTGGGGTTTCCTGTGTAAGTCACACTTCTGTAGCTGGGCGCAGATCCCTTGAAAACAGCCAAGGTGGCAAGTGATTTTATACTTCTGCTTTACCATATTTAGTTAACAAGAACACTCTAGTACGCTACACATAATTCACTTCTCATCATCAAAAGATATAACATCAAGGTACTACAGCTGCTACCTGTAATTACTATTAGTGCTTTCCAAAAAACAATTATCCACATCTGGCCTGGTCCAATATAGTGGCCTTGACTAACAGATTTTTACTCTACTTTTCCACACTACTGCTCACTGATTATATGCTGAGCATTTCAATCTAAGGAAGTTTAAGTACATGTTCTCCATCATCTAGGCTTATGCTAGGCCTGCCATCTGCACTTGTCATTGTGGTGTTTCAGTTCTTGACCACGTCTGCAGTCTACAGTGTTCCAGCAATGACATTTCCTAACAAAGCAGAATTAAAAATAGGTCTAACAAGGCAGAGGCATTGCACAAAGTCTGTGTGCAAAGACAGGGTACTGAGGGGAAGTGGAGGGAAAAAAAGAGCCTGTGAAAGGTGGACAAAATTTGCAGCAAATACTCAGTCTGCAAAAGGGGAAGAATGTCTGAATTAAAACATGTAAGAAGCAGCTGGGAACGGATGGTGTCCATCATGTCCCAAGGTCTCTGATGTAGCTGCTGCCTTGGCTCATGCTGGCTGTTTCTTACCAGATCTCCTGAGAGTTTTTGTCTGTCTTCAAGCTCATGTAGCTGGGAGGAGAAGGGTGAAAGGAGACCATTATGTTTGGAGGCAGGCTCTTGCTTGCAAATGGATGCTATAGAGTTTAGCACTGCTCAGTCTGATGCTTGCTGCTCTATTTCACCTGAGAAATCCCTGTCCTTCCAGACCACTGACACTTGTACATGCTGAGATTGTGCCCCTTCTCAGTCACATATGGGGAGTAAAACCCTTCATATCTCTTTCTCCTCTTCTTATCTGTTAAGACTAGGACTCCTCCCTCCATGGCTGGGGGAAGAGAGAGCAGGAGATGGCCAAGTGTGGTAAGAAGCTTTGTTCTGCTGATCCTACCGTGGACCAGCAAAGGGGGCTATTGGAGCTGAATCCTGGAAAAGCAAGGGAATTTGTTACAGAACAAGGAGATGGTGTAAACAGTCACTCCCAGCTGCATCTTGTATGGCTTTGGGCTTCAAGTTACTTAATACTACCTGACCCAGTCAGTATGTGTGCATTCTTACCTGGCACACAAGACCTCAGGGAGCTGCTTTTCAGCACATGCTTGAGCCATCACAGTTGTTTTCCCAGAGGCGGAGAGACCACTTGCCATACCAGAGGCAGGAGACCAAATGAGTTCATACACAGTGTCAGTCCAGCTCCAGGGGTGTTGCCCCCCCCCCCCAGTTTACTTCCTGGGATAGCTTAGGACTAGCGTGGCCATCATAGAGCACATGCCGGTTGTCTTCTGTTCTCTTGATATGAAACCCGACACCTTTATGTCCTTTATTTTTCTGTTGAAATTTTTCAAGAGAAAAATAGAGGACATAAAGGTGTTGCGTGTCATATTAATACAGGAAAGAGTAGCAGAAAACCACTGAAAGCAGTGGTCCTCTATGATGGCCACCCTACTTAGGACACATTTGCTCTTCAGCAACTAACAGATCTGGAAAATCCTGGCTTTCTTGTGCATTAAAAATGAAAGACTACCACCTGGTGGAAGTATTGGGCAAGAGAAGAAGAGCACAGATCATCTGCAGACGCTTCCTCAGCCTGACAAAGGGTGTTTGTGCCCAAAAGCTTGCTAAGAAGAATTTTTCCAACTATCTGAGTTGGTCTAATAAAAAATATTGGATTTACCCTAAGGACCATCTCTGGGTAAGAGAATAAACTTGAGGTAGTCTTGAAAGGGAAGCATTTCCTTTTACTGGGGCACTGTTTTTCCCCAGTAGGTTACTATCACAGGCGAGGACACAGATAGAGATAGGGAAAATTATCTGGTCAGAAGAACAGACCCTAATTTTCAGACCCCAAACTCAAACCTATTTGATCCAAGTGCCACTACACAAGTGCTTATGTGAATTTAAGCCTGAGTCATGGGTCCAGAGAGATCTGTAAAAAATTAGACCAGAACTGGCCTTTGCCAAATTTGTAACCTGTAGTGCAGTGGTTCTCAACCTTTTTAGACTGGAGGCACTCATTTGATGGGAAGCAAACTGAATGGCACCCAATTTCAAAAACTAATTTATACATTACAGTACTTGCTTCCTTGCTGAGAGGCCTGGCAGTGGGAAAGGGAGGTCATCATGCCTGAGCCTGCACTTATCTGTTTAGTTTATCTGCTTATCTCCTAACATCTAATTTATCAACTCACACCTCATGGCATCCTTTAAAAGATCCATTGGCACCCCAGAGTGCCCAGAGCCCTGCTTGAGAATTACTGCTTTAATGAAAGGAGGTATTCTTCTGGTTTTTCCACACCAAGTTAGAATAGGCAGTCCCTAACTAAAAGTCTGTTTTGCAAAGTTTGTTCTCAGTTTTCAGGTCAAAGATGTTTAAATGGATATTTGACTGCACCTCCAAAATGTTTTCATACTTTTTATGGGAAGAACTATCTAACTTCCAAACTAGTAGCCGCTAAAATGGACTGGGAAATCTAACCCTGGATTAGTGAGAGAATTTAAACAAACTGAGGGAAACTCCAGCATTGATGCCATTTCATTCCTTTCCTCCCGTCCCACTGTATTTAAAGTATTCGTGGTTTCAGTATGCACATAACACCATCTCGTGGTTTGAGGGTTCCTGTATCCACAATTTCAAAGCTCTGTCCTGGTGCCAGCTGGAATTCAAACCTCTGTAGCAGTTTCGCCATCACCACTTTAGCCTCCATCTGTTAAGAATAGCAAACTAGCATTCAGCAGAGGCAGGGTTGGTTGCAAGTATTTAAATTCAGGATATGACACAGTTCTGTGGAACCCAGAAACTTAGAACTAAACATGTTACAATATCATTGCAGCTGAACTACAAGAAAAGCTGCCTCTCGGAGTGCGTAGGAACAATACACATCTCAGTCACCTGCACCTTCCAAAATTGGAGAAGACATACAGATGCAAAGATGTGGCAGTTGTTTAAGTTTTAGGTCTGCTTTGAAGACCAGGGTATAGATCAGAACACTTTAATTGGGGCACACTGAGTATCAACATTTAGACACCCACTGTGCGCTACCTTAGAGTGCAGGATTTGCTGCATTGCCCCCAAATGCTGCTTCCCATGCTCTGCCAAGAAATCATTTCTCCTAACCTGAGCAACCATATTTGCACCTTCCCTTTCTGCTTTGCCCCCTTGAAGTCTCTGGTAGTTTGATGCTTCTGTCTGGACCACATATTTCACGGGTTTGCCCCAAAAGCAGGCCCACAACTGTGTCTGACAGCAATTCCTATCAAAAGGGGTTTGGACTGTAGTTAAGGGCTGTGTAAGGATTTAAAATCCAAGTAGATTTACTGTTCCTGAAACATGCTGGATTGGTAGCCTGGACAAGCAGAGGACTCGCAGAACAGCTGCAGAATAAGCAACCACAGGCTGGCTTCGCCCCATCTGACAAATGAGTGACAGGACAGGCCTAGAGACCCCACCTGAAAGGATGAGGATCAGTAGCTTCACCATTTCACTGCATTTCCTAATGAAACTGCACTTCCAGGGGTCTGCTTACCTGTGAGAATATCTGTCCAACACAGGAACGGGGTCCCAAAGAAAATGGAAAATAGGAAAAATATGGCCTATGAAGGAAAAAAAGTCACAACATTTACTCTGGTGGTTTCACTGTAGAGAGAGAAGCTGTTTTTTTTTTAAATCAAAGATTTTATTACAACTGTAATTTGAAATGTTCATAAATTACTTCCTTATACATCTGGGTCTTAATAACCAATAGCAGAATGGCATCTTGAGTCTTTGTGCTATACTGCTGAGGTAATGATACTTTACCAGTGCGTGTCATTTATTGTTGTTTGTACAGCACCTTTCACAATGGAACACATTTTGATTTGTACCAATAGGTGCCACCCTAGCATAACTATAATATAAGCAACTATATCATCATCATCACCATCATCATTATTATTATTGCTTTCCTTTGTAAAGTGCTTGGACTTCTAAGGGTGAAAGGTGCTGCATAAAAGCCACATATTACTATTATTTTGCAAAGTCTTGTGTTACTCTCAAAACAGGGAAAGTATACAATAATTATATACATTTTCCCATCTAAATTATTTTCTTTCTGATTTGAGCAGGGGGTTAGACTCGATGACCTGCTGAGGTCCTTTCCAGCCCTCATTTTCTATGATTCTTTGATTACTTATTAAGTACTGGTGACAGAATGGTAAAAAACACTCACTTGGGTGCATTGTTGCTGAACCGGTCAGGATTGAAAGTCATTGGGTCCTTGAAGAACTTTTCCATCCTTCCCATGGTATATGTGCTGAACTGCCAACAGGATGCATGCTTACATTATTCATATGAAACACACTGGAAAAGACTTTTTGCAGGCTCATGGGTACAAGAAGAAAACTACTTGTTTCTTCCCACACATACTTAGACCACTCTTGCCATCACTAGATTTGGCACATTTCTACAAACAGGGTCCAGTGCCCCATTCGCACCTCTTTTTCTTCAAGACCAAATTCCGTGCTGACACAACTTCACTGAAAGCAACTGAACTACTCCTGTGGAGAATTTTGGTCTCACTGTGTCTATCTAACTCAAAACCTAATTACTCCCACAACCTGCTGGGTTTGGAAGGCAGCTATCAGACTCACAAATAGCACCACATTTGCTGGAATTCTGATGCCTTCAATGATATTTTCCTTTCCCGTCCAGCGCACAGTCCCAGGGACAGGAGGATATAATCGGAGAGATTCTTTGAGAACCTGTGTCAGGGTAAAATAAGAAAGAGTTCATTAATACAGTGCCAGGAGAAGAAAAATAACATTCATTCCTCCTCCACAGCCTTCCACTTAGACTAATTGGAGGCTTCAGAATTCTGGAAGAAGAGCCAGTGATTCATACAAAGATTTTGATGGAGCAGACTTTTGGCCAAATCTCCTTTGTCTACTCCAGTCTCAGATTGAAACCAGCATTAAAACTATTAAAGAGACAACAGTCAGCAGAAAGGAACATCAGGTATTTAGGAGAAAGAAGACAGTGGCAGAGGACACCCACTTCTCTTCTTAGTACCTCATGTATAGGAAGGAATTTCAGGTGCAAGCCTATCACAAAAGAAGTGTCACATGTATAGATGCTGCGCCCAGGAGCAGTTGACTCCAGCTCAGAGAGCTCTGAAGTTTATCGTGTTGCATTAAGTGAACGTGTAGATGTGCCCAGTGATGCTTAAACTAGTTTGGAGAGCTTCTGAAGAAACCTATTTGCATTCTCAAGAGGGTAGAGAAGTCTTTTCTTGATGGACACATATTTTTGATAGTCATCTACTGTCAAAATGTAGCCATATCTGGGATGGGACATGGAAGTTGTTATAAAAGCAACACTGCCACCTTTCAGGAAGCTGAGAAGAAAAAAGTGACCACTATATCCTGGTACAGCAATTAAGCAGGGACATGGTATTTCCCAATACTAGAATTTAGTACATACAAGTTCACTGGTCTCCCTACCCTTGCAAAAAGAGACATGGGATATACATAATGACAGCTTGTCATACCTCAGTTTTACCCCTCATTCCAAAAAAATAGCCTCCTAGATGCATGATCAGGTGATCATGTACCATGCTCAGAGAGAGAGAGAGAAAAGAAGAAGAAGAGAACGGCACTTCTGAATTACCAAAACCAATTCCTGGATTTTCCTTGGAAGTCTCCAATCCAAGTAGCAGTCACTGGTTACTTTACTGATGTAGCAAGGTATCAGCTAGAAATGCCTTAGCAATGACTGACCAGATATAGGTTTGGTTGTCAAACTCTTGGGAGCTTGTTGTCAAACTACCTGAAACAAGTAGGAAGGGAGACACCTAGTCCTATAGTCTGATTATATTTAAACTAAGCAGGCAGGGATAAAGAATTGCTAATTTTCCTTGTATAGAATTACACCAGTTTGGACCATCTGCTGGCTGTGTGTGACATGGCAAAAGTGCCATCAAAAGGCTGTGACTGTTGTTTGACCTCATTCTACAGTACCTGTGTTAAATACTGGAGATTCCCAAGGTCTGTATAGCTGATATTTCTCTTGGTTCCAATAACCTCATCCACTTCAGCCCGAAGTCTAGAGGAGACATTAAAAGGGATGTTTAGTTAGAGAAACCAATTTCCTGCCAAGCAGCATGAAGTGTTTTTTTCAAAATTTCCCTGATAATGAGCCTGCAAAATTCCTATTGCTTCCAAAGGGAGACTGCCTGAGTAAATGCATCAGGATCAGGACATTAGGAATATGTATAAGGTGTAGTATAATCAGAGCTGACATCCTCTTTGCAGAGCTCAGCTTTGTACAAAGCAGGGGTGTCAAGCTCATCTGGTCCTATGGGCTGGATGTGTGGCACAGGGCTGGTCTGTGGGCTGGATTGGATGTACAGGCCAGCCTGTATGGCAGATCCACAGTGTGTCCTGGAGCAGCTGGAGTGGGTGCCCTGTGAGGCGTGATTCTGCTCTGGCCATGCAGAGCTGTGCTGCACACAGTGCCCACTCTGGGACATACTGGAGCACTCTGGGACATTAGCTGGAGCAGGTGGCACACAAGGCCACCCAGCATGCCCCACATGCTGCCTGTGAATCAACTCTGAGACCCACAGGCAGTACTGGGAGCCAGATGCTAGAGCTCTGTGGGCTGGATCTTTTGACACCCCTGGTATGGAGCTTTGAAATACATTACTTAAATAGAACTGAAAAATCTTAATTGTCCTATATGTTATTATGCAGCATACTTGTTATTAAATATTTATTTTGGAACACAGAGCAGGATGGATTATTAATTGGTGCTGGCTCTTTAATAGTTCTCATATTTATTACTTGGCTTATGATGCTCATCTGGAACAGCATAGCTAGCTTTGCAAGCTAAGTATAGAACATATATACCTCTCCATTATTTCAGGTTGCCGAGTCAGCTCCATTATTGTAAATGACAACTGACTGGCCGTTGTTTCATGACCTAAAAATGAAGACAACCATTAAAAAATAGCATAAAGCAATACACTGTATATAAAATAAAGTGAGTGAAGCACTGTGATTGTGAGTAGGAAGATAGAGAACATGTTGAGGCCTCTCTAAAAACATGTCAGTTCTGGAATAGTTCATGCTGAATCAATGGAAAGCTACCATTGGTTTGGGCATTGACTAGTCATGAAGCATTGACTGTTTACAATGGTAGTTGTCAAACCCATTTACAGGAGAGACCAGTTGCCAATCCGTATTCAATTTGTGCTTTTGCTGTCCTGAGCTGCTCCCTAGAGGTGTGGGCTGTTGCCGAGTACTTCTCTTTGGTAGTTATTCCCGACTTCCATCCTTTGTAGGCTTCTTGTTTTAATTTCAAGACGTCCATGACTTCCCTGTTGAGGCAAGGGGGTCTCCCGGCACTTTTGCTGTTTTTCTTATGAAAGGGAATGGACTTTCTTGTACCCCTTTCCTCACTGGACCATGGTCCCGTAGGGCCTTGTCAACCAATCCCCTAAGCTTGTGGAAGTCAGCTTTCCTAAAACCAAGGATTTCTACTAGTGGTTCACTGATAGATATTTTGGGGGCCAATACCGAAAGCTGATTTTTAAGGAGGCATATTGGCCGATACTGATCCGATTTTTGATATGCAGCCTGTCAGCTTGAAGAGCAGTGTCTGTCTGGTAAGTCTGTTGTGGTGGAAGGGGAGGGGGAAGAGAAGGGGCATAGGGGCGACAGATCAAGGCCCCTGTGGTGAGGGAGAGAGTGGGACTGGGGCAGGGCCTGGGGCTGGGGCAGTTGCTGCCCAGCTTGGGCGCGGTGGGATGCAGGATGGAGCTGCGGCTCATCCGGGGGGCGTGAGCAGGGGGTGGCAGCTTCTGGCACAGTGTGCACCCTGGAAGGGCATGGGGGGTGTGCCTCTGGATCTGTGTGGGGTGAGCGTGGGCTGCTGCTGCAGGATGGGGCTGGAGCTATGCCAGGCTCTTCCCAGTAGGGGGCTGGGCTGGGCTGCACTCAGGGTGGGCAGTGGCAGCGCTGGGAGGGGGGGCTGCAGCCACCCCAAAATTCACTATAGCCCCACCCCAACCCTCTGTCCCTGTGCTGCCACCTGCCCCGCCCTGAGTGCAGCCCAGCCCAGCCCCCACCAGGAAGAGTCCAGCACAGCCCCAGC